CGATGTAGTTTAAAAAGTGTAATTTAAAAAGTTTCATATATCCGGCGTATCGATCCGTACCGCACGGAGTAGATTCCATAAAACAGAATGGTAGAGTAGATTTAGATTCAACCCTTGGTATACGACATTTCCGTCGAACGCTGCTTCTCGAATATATATATATACACGAGAGGCGCGTATGAAAGCGTGTCTAAGAATAAATGTCAACGCGATTTATCCTTCCTAGAAGAAGTTCTTCCTTGCCGTACAGCGCGGCTACACAATGGCTATTCTTAGACGCCCAGTTGGACATCCGCGCGGTATATACCTGTCTGTTGGCATACACTAGGAGTGCACACTGAATATATACGTCAAGATTTCATGTCAAAACAAATCGTCGCGAATGGATTCGAGAGGCACTTTCTAGGGACAATCCCGGCTCAGCCCCGCAAGAAGCGAACTGAAACGCATTGATCGTCTCAATCGGTGACGGCTATCGGTCGGTTATAGACTGCCGTATGTTTTCGCGTGCCGACAAGGGCGGAATCATGGGCGAGCGCTCGTAATTCTCTCCCATCCGCGGCGGCGGAGAGCGGGTCAGACACGCGGAGCGCAGGGTGCAGCGGCAAAAGGGGTATATAGCGGGTAGAAAGGGGGCGCCTTTCCCTGTCCGCCTCCTCTTACCCCTCTCACGCTTACGGCTCTTTCGCAGGGCATAGTGGAAGCACCCAGGGGCAATTGAAACTCACGGCCATTTACTGCATTTCAATAATGGTTTCCCCATCTCCCTCTCCGCGGCGGCCCCGCATCCAGCACCCCTTTCCGCGCCTCTTACTGCACCACCGCCGCGCGTAACCCTCTCCCGTTCCTCTCTCCCCCTCCCTCTCTCTCTCTCTCTCTCTCTCTTCCTCCTCCTCACTCCACGTACGCGTGCAACACGAGAGTTCGGGTTGCACAGTCGATTTACTATGAGCTTTATGGTACACACCGTGCGAGAGCACGCAGAAGTACCCTACGGCCAACTATCCCCCGCACGGCGCGCCTACCATGGCAACACTGTATTATTTCCCGTAAACTATCCCGAGCCACACGCGCGTGCACGCATGCACGCGCGAGTAACGCAGCGATTTTTACGCTTCCCCGAAAGCTCGTTAGCGCGTCGAAAAGCACGTGGGCCCGCTATTTCCGCCGACGAGAAGCGGCGCGAGAAGCGGAGTCCGCCGCGAATTCCGGTCGCTCCGTTCGATCGTACACGATACCGCGCTGATACCGCGAAAGTAAGCAAAGTACGAAACGTTAAAACGTCGAAAGCACTATAAATTCAACAATGCACCAATCGTCGATCTAATTTTCGCCGAAAAAAAAAAAATCAAAATTATAATTATTAGCTTCCCAGTGTTCACCAGACGTGCGAATCTCTTTACAAAGCCCGTTATGAGGCAACCGATCAATTAGCGACGATCGTAAACCACGAGATGAATATCGATTAAGCGATCGAGAGCGCCACGTTCTGTAATACGCAGGATCATTTTAGGAAGCGCTATATCGGGGACGGATAATTGAGATGGATATTGAATCGTCGACGCGTCACATTTCCGTGGGCTCATTGCCGTCTGGTGTACAGACACATTCGCACAATCGGCCGTATATAGATACCGATATGTAACGGTTTCAGTAAATTTGAAATCGGCCAAATCGCCCGCAGACAATGGGGCGAAACAAATTTCGCCCATTAGCAACCGACGGAGGATACGTGTCACGCTGCAGTTGTCGTCAATACAAATATCTGCTCGCGAGATGCGCGCCCATATTCGTCTGAATACCTCTCTTCCACACACGTTTCCCCTCCCATGCGTATATGCGCATATGTACGCGCGCGAATGCACGCGGGATAAAAAAAAAGGAGGAGCTCGGATTTATTCCGCAAAATCGCGACAAGTCCGGAAATATATATATATGTATGTCCCCGGCTATAAATATGACGATCCTCCTCCCCGCCAGATTACAGACACGGCCGGCCGAATTGGGCGCGTTCACGGATTTATCCCTTCGTATCTTGGAGCAGGAACAGAAAGGAATTGAACGATTTCCCTGCCCATTTCCCTGGCCGATTTCAGAGACGCATCGCTACGCCAAATGAATTCCCGCTCGACTCCCCTATCGATTCGCCTATCTATTCTCCGCGAGATCCGGAGACCTCTCGCCATTTTTACGGATGTTCGAACGCGCGTCAAACGGAGCATACGCCGCGCACGGAATGCAGACAGAAGGGACAGACAGAATAAGAAGGCGAGTAGCGCCAACAGGCGGCACCGACTATACACGCACGCACACGTCACCCCTGACACGTATGTAATTGCCTAGATTCGGACCGCGCAAAAAAAAAAAGGTGAAAACACGTCGAAAGCCGGGACGGAAAACAGCTGTTACTCGGATAGCGGATTCCCAGAGTGGGCTCTCTCGTGAGCGCTCGCATCAACCGGAACGAAGAACAATGCATCGCAGAGAATGCTGCCGGGATTTAAATATAATAACCCGCGGCGAACGCGCAATAAAAAACGTTTTCGAAAATTTACCTCACGTATCTGAATCCTTCTACTTTTATCTAATACAAACTTAATATATTGAGTTTACATTAGATTTGATAAAAATGAGATAAATTTTAAATAATAAACTTAATATGTATATATATATATATAATATGTATATTAATTAATATGTATATATATATGTATGTATATATGTACATATATATATATATATATATGTACATATATACAAACATATATATATACATATTAATTAATATACATATTATATATATATATATACATATTAAGTTTATTATTTAAAATTTATCTCATTTTTATCACATACATATAAACAAACTTAATAAACATATTAAGTTATATATATATATATATATATATAACTTAATATGTTTATTAAGTTTGTTTGTATTATGTGCATTTGTATTATCTAATAAACTTAATATATTAAAGTTTATTGGATAATATACAAATGCAATACGAACTAATAAACTGTAGATTCCCAGGACTGCGCAGAAATTTCATGAATTTAACTACACAAAATTGTTTCTTAATAGAAAGTCAAATTCCGCAACATTCTGCAACAATTATTTCAAATTCATCTTAAATTCACATAATCGTACAATTAACAACGTATAATAAACGCTATTTAATATATATATATAGAGCTATTGTTTTTAAAAAGTTTTTAATTTTTTAAAATAATAATTATATACATCTATTTAAGATTGGAGGGCTATGTATAATTACGCGACGTATGCGCACCTTGCGTAATGCGATGCACGTGTTATATATGTACATGTAACGTGCATGCAACCAGGACCGTGGACGGAGGATACCGACCTTATGTACGCAACTCGCAACGGGGTATTTCCGCTCGTCAAATAACAAGTTGTATACATTCAGAGCCCAATCACGCGTATTATCCAGTATCCTGCGGACCGCCTCGTACTTCGACAATCCCGAACATCGACGTATACGTGAAGCGCGTTCATACCGGGTGAACCAAGCCAGATGGGTATATGCCCAAATTTGATCATTATTACTCAAAATAACTCTCACAATTTATAATTTATAATATCCATTTAATTTCTATTTGAGAATGTGAGTAGTTAAAATAACAATTAGTTAATATAAATATACGCCTCGTCCTAAAATTAATTGAAAGATTCTATTTAGGATTTTGGAAAATCTAAAGTCTTTTCATATTTATATCTGAATCTAGGAAAGAATAAAAATGACATTTTAATATTCTTTTTTATTTTTAAATAGTAAAAAAATCCTCAATTGAATTTTCGTCTCATTTTATACAATATAAACTCATGTGAAACTAAATTTTTTGACATCTTCCTAGATCACCTAGTATACATATACGCTTCCTGCACGTGCATGTACGGCGCACCCGTCGAATTTTCAATCCGCGCCCGCCAAGGCACGTCCAAATGATAGACCCGGTCTACAAGAGGAACGACGACAGGTCCGGATCGTTATCGATGTCGGGATATAGCTATCGATGGATCAACCACCGATAGCCGGCGGAAACGGCGGACCGCTTCGCACGGGGGAATGAGGAGCATCACGAGAGCGCGTTCGCATACGTGTGTATCGGTGCGCACGATTCACGGGAGGGTGTAATAGACGATGTAATCGGCATCCTACGCGTGTAGCACCGTGTGTACATACAACGGATTGTCTAATGCGGGACATGTGTTAGGTGATCGAATTCTGCAGCGCGAATTTCACCGTCGAGGCGCGCTCTTTCCCGCTATTGTACAGGCGGAAATTTAAGGGAGATAATTCTTTGTCGCGGTTTTCAATTGGGAAACTCTCTCCCGCGGTGCTATACGCTTGATTCGCCGCGAAGCTTTAATTCTAATTTCAAAAGTCGTCGACAGAGTCGATTCACGCGTAAATAAAGTGCTATTGATTATTGTTCAAACAAAATATTCAATATCGCTTATTTAATTATCACGTCGTCGTAATGTCAAAAATGAAGCCCATGCCGTGAATTTGCATGACGCATTTATAAATGTGAATGTGGCAGCATTTTTGGAATAAAATTGCACGAAAGTTTACGTTTAATTACGGAAAAAAAAATTGACACTCGCGGTCGTAAATTTCTCGATGTCTCGCCAAATCTTTGGATGACAGGTAAGACAGGAAAGTGAACAGTATCATGTAATTTATTTTTTATCATATATAATTTAATACAAAAAAAACGTAATAATAATCATATAACGTGATATACAATATATGATTATTATCCCTGGCGATACTTACAGCCTTTACGACTTCCTCTTTGTTTTCATTTGCATTCTACGATTCTTGCCTAATCTTTGCTTTCCCTTTCCACCTTTTCCTTTTCTGCCTTCACCCGGTTTCGGTGGCCGTCTGTACTCGGAAACGTCGGCCGAACTGCTCTTCGTGTTCCATTTGCTGCCGCGCTTTTTACCTCCATAACCATATTTGGCATTTTTCATTTTCATCTTTAATTGCGCCTTCGGATTCGTTCGGCGATTCAGCGGCTGTCTACCTTGTGGTTTCTTCTTGTCGTCCAAGAAATCGAGATCCTTCCGTACACCCTTGCGATACTTTTTAACCTCCTCCATAAATTTTCTCTTCTCCGCGTGTTTCTTTAGTGTCGCCTCGACTTGCATTTGCTTCGCAACCTTCCTCTGCTGCCTCAGCTGCCTCACCTTTTCCGATCTTTGCGCTATCACCTGCTTCTTCATCAGGTTCTCCCGCACCTTCTGCATGTGCTCGTCGGACTTGGCCATCTCGGCGAAGTAATCGTCCGGCCTCGACATTGGTACGCCGAGCTTCTTTAATCTATTCATGCCATCCATAACGGCACCCTGAGCCTGACGGTGGAACATGTTCTCTCTACGAAAGTCATTCAGGACGGGATCCTCGGACGGCTTGTACTGAGGTAACTTTTTATTTCCCTGCAACTGCTTGGCCCGCCTTACTTCCTGCTCCTGCATTTGAAGCGCCAATTCCGGTGCTAACGGTGCGGGGGCGTTTACCATGTCCAGCCTCTCGATCCACGGCAAGTCCAGCTTCATCTCGTCCAATTTTTGCTTCATGAGACTCTACGATTTGTTTTACAGGAAAAAAATTTTGCGTTAGATTAGGTTAGGTTATGTCTCCCGAGGTAACAACTCCAAAATGTGCTCCAGCTGATTTCTGACAAAACAATTACTCACGACGCAATTCTTGGACTGCTTGCCACTCTCGACCGCAACGTTGAGCCCCGGTTTCAGTAATCCCTTCGCGAGGGCCTCCTGTAGCTACGACACGTGAATAAAATGAGGTTAGGATACGCACGATCTCGAGGTTAGGATACGCACGGTAAGCGGAAGTCGTGACACTCACCTCCTCGTCGGACGAATTGTACTCCGACTCTGATTCCGATGCTTCTGACATTGCAAATAATTTACTATTTTATTCGACTATGATTATAACCGGCAGGACGCAACCCCGAACGCGACGCCCGACCACCTGACCACGCCACTTCTCACCCTCACCACTCCACTCTGCTCCCACGGTGAAACGCGTCTCTCGACAGTCGGTGGAACTTGTAGTGACACCCAGTGGAGCGATGTAGAAATTTGTTCGTAAGGTAAATACCAACAATCAGCGAGAAAGATGCTTCCTTTTCCCGACAAATTTTTATCCGTCGGGAGTATTGCGATGTAGAAACAAAGGGCAAAAGTTTCCTTCGAAAAATCGTTTTTCTTTTATACATATACGAGATCGGGTATTTGATACAAAGAAAAATTTTCGTAGTCGGGAAAGAATTTATGTTCTTCGTTTTGGCGCGACCTCGCGACCGAACTCCGATTACATATGTTAATTAATTCAACCGCGGCGGAATAATTTGCAGCAAAATTTTCTACATATGATTCGCGATATATCGAATAACAAAGGAATTATTTCAATTTTCTTGTTAACAAAATATAATTAACTTATTATAATTAATATAATTAAGTTAAATATAATATAGTTAGGTTAAATCGAATTATTAATTAATTGAATATTCCTCGTACATGTACGTGTTTCTCTCGTAATTCGTTATTATCAAAAATTAAACTTGCATCAGGTACACGTGCAAGTAATAAGTCCTCATTTCCGATAAGCAAACATATATATAATTTCAAGTATAGAAACAATAGAATTCGTTCAGATAAGAAAATATACTTTTGTATGGTATTGTACGCGTTCGAGAATTTGAAATGACGCAGTTTGCGAAGTTCCTATACTTACACCGGTTCCTATGTAATGCATATACATATAAAACTAAAAAAAAACTATTCTAGAAACTGCATAATTAAAGAATGTTGTAACGCCGTTACGACGCCGCTATTTTATAAATGCACAGTTCTTTCGGCTCGCGTGAGCCGCAGAATACTCCCGAGAGAAATAGAAGGGAAAAAAAACGCGCAAAAACCTCGTGAAAGTAAAAAATCGTGAGTGAGTAGACTTTTGTATTCGACTGTATGCGATAGCCTTGATGCGTCTCTCAAATTCGACGGTATATATTATACGCACGTTTACTTGCGCAAAAGAAGCCGGCGATTTGAAAGTAAACGACTTCCTCGATCGTATATCTTGGAACATTTCGTTAAGAGCTTGCCGATTTTGAGACCCGTTTCGATTGTTTCGAGACCTTTTTGCGACAGGCAAGACCGCGTCGTTTCCGAGAGACACACCCGAGTGCACGCTCGCTCGCGACAAATAATTCGTATCTACGCCTCGTTCTCGGGGAAAATAATATAGGGAGCGTTAGCAGAGAAGGCAAATAAATTGAAACAAATAATTAAATGATTTACGTTTGATTTTAGGCGGGCGACGGCGACAGAGATCGATTCCGCTTGTGATTCCGCAATCGAAATTCTCGCGTCCCTCTATATCGCGCGTCCTTCGTCTTCGTCGGTGCCGCGGCGATTGAACGAGGAGAAGAGCGGCGGCGTAGCGGCGGCGGCGTCGGGGTAACGCGAAGCGGCGGCCGGCGATTGGCCGGCGCGGCGAGGGCGCCGGCGGACCGGCCAATCGGCGGCGCGCGCCGCCGCGTCCGGCAGGGCGCAACAGTCCTGCTCCGCGGGTAGGTAAGTGCGGAGATACCCACCGACGTTCCCTCCGGGCGCGCCAGTCTTGACACGCGTTATGTGCTCGATGCCAGGGTTTTCGTCGCAGCTGGCCGGATGACAACGACGTAACATCATGGCGGATAACGATAAGAAGCCGATGTCACGTTTAATGAAACTCGCGAACAAGTTCAACTGCTTCTACCTGTCAGGTAAGCGTACGCGACGGGCCGTGCCCGCGCGCCGCTGCGTATTCGTCCCCGGGAGACGCGCCTCCCGGCCGCGTCGTCGACGGGCTACGACGCGGCCGCCCGTTCGCGCCGAGAATATCGATCTCGCTTGTGTCGTGTGTGTATATTTGCCGTTCGCGTTTCGGAAGGAAAATAATAGGGAGGAGAGAAAAAAAAACGGAGGATCCCGAACGCGTATCGCGGACGTTGATTATCGACGGGCCGCGCGCGCGCGCGCGCGCGCCTCCGCCGCGTCCCCGTTGCCTTTTGCGTCGTCACACGGCGAAACACGAGAGAGAGCCTATTTCGCGGAATAACTATTCCAAAATCTCACCTTGCGTTTTTTTTGTAATGACAGATACGCCTAACGCTTGTTTTTTGGGTACGCTTGGTTGGGGGCGGGGAGGGGGAATCGCTTTATATCGCGCAAACTTTGATGAATAGCTCATTTCTAAGAGAAATGCAGCTACCTGGTTGAGTTTACATTTCGAGTCTTGTATAAAATATACAAATTTGCTGCTTTCCGCGCTGTTCTCTCTTTCAAACATGATTTTCCAAAGTCACTCAGTAATTTCTTTTTTTTGTAATATTTATTCATGACATGTAGAACGAAATTATAATATTTACATAAATTATGGAGGAATACATTTATTTCTTAGGTTTACATGCAGGAGAATGCAGGGCTTTTGTTGTCGACGGACAGCAAGTTGGACTTGTTCGTCCAGATGTGATGAGAGAGATATTAAATTATCCTCAAGTGAGTTCATTTCACCCTCTTTTTCACAAGTAAATACTTAGACATCTATATAATGTGACATTTTAATTTTCAAGGTATTTCAAGTGCATCCCGAATATGTGCAATTAAATCCAGCCTTTCGGGATTACACTGAGAGAAGTGCACGCGTCGATGAAGTGTTGAGGGAATGGATGGCCGGTGGGAAATTTGTAACATTACGAGGCTGGAGGGAGGAATGCCATGAAGTGCGTGCACAGTTTAATACACAACCGCTGTTCAAGATGGATCGCTCGGCTACATGTATGTACAAAAGCGAAAGTGAGATAAGCAAATGTCCTAATTGCGGTACATTATATATGAGCCTTTTGAAACGACAGGTTTATTTGGAATTCGGAAATATGGAGTGGACATAAACGGCTACGTAATGGACCCTGTCAAGGGCCTGTCAATATGGTTGCAGAAGCGTAGTCCGAACAAACAGACATGGCCGGCATATTGGGATAGTATGGTGAGCGGTGGTTTGAGTGTTGGTTACGGTATAAATGAGACCGCGATTAAGGAGGCCGGCGAAGAGGCTGGTATTCCGAACCATCTTATTGCCAAGCTCAAGAGCGCCGGCTGCGTGTCGTTCTTCTTTGAAAGTGAGAGGGGTCTGTTTCCCAACACGGAATTTGTATATGATCTTGAACTGCCGCCCGACTTCGTACCGAACAATAGTGACGGAGAAGTGGAGACCTTCGAATTACTCCCCGTTAGTGAATGCTTAGAGAGGATACTGTCCCCACATTTCAAAACTACTTCGGTACCAGTTGCCCTTGACTTCTTAATTAGACATGGATATATTACAGCGGAGAACGGTAAGATATCGCTCGATCTCACTCATATAAATACTTGGTTCGCTCGAAAAATTGTCAATATCGAAATTTCGTGTAACGCTAATTTGCTGTTTCGTTTACTTTTGTTGCAGAGCCTAACTTTATACAGATTGTGGAGTTGCTTCATGTACCTCTGCAGACTATGTACAATCATCGACACAAAGCTAGTAATAGAATGGCTAACGGCGAAGCGATCGATGCACTAGAAAAAGTTTAAGTCTCGTTAGGCTTCTTAATTTATATTGTGCTAATGGCTATGAATTGAATGAAATGAATGAGGTTCCTTTTCTATGTTTCTTCATTGGACAAGTATTGAGAAATCTCTGTATTACAGTTGTACACATGTAAGACGTAAAGAGCCTTTTATAATTTATAAAGATCATAATTTATAAAAAGAACTATGGATAGACGAAAAACACACTTCTATTATTGAGTTGGTCATATTTCTGCATTCATTTTAATATTGTTTCAATTGCATATCTTGCATTAACAACGAAAAAGAGAAACTCAATACGCTTTATTAACTGCATCAATAATAACCCACGTTTACGAGAACTTTATAACACGTTTTCCTCTTGTCTATACAAGTTTGTGTGATTCATAAAAGAAAAACAAGTTTTTATATACAAATCTTTTGTATGACGGAGTGTAAAGTATTTAATTAATTAATTAGTAACATCATTTAACTCGTCAAAATTTTGAAGATAAAATTTCTTCCATCTATACAGTTCTTTCGTTTGTTTTCTTTTTCTATAACAAGATAAGTTTCACAAATGGTTATGCTATATTGAGACATTTTTCAGCTTAATCTGCCATTATTTAGCACAATGAAATCGTATACCAATTATATTAATATCGTGCTTGTCAACTGAACAGATGCATTGTAATAAAAACAAATGACGATTAAATGAAATTGATTTACGATATACATATATCAAAGTGGAAACAAAAGTATTATGAACGCAGCATTCCAGAGAATAAGTTTATCGATAAGATTGCGTTTAAGGACTGAAAAATGAAAGATTTTTTTTTTAATGTAATTAATATCGTCATATATACACTAAAACTTGCAACACACAGCTTGGAATTATCTGCGAGACAGTTTACATAACACTAAGATCACACGTTTACAGTATTATAAGAATGAATATCCTATGTACTTTTTTTTAAATAAGTTAAAAAATTTACAGTCTGATCATGTGCAAACCTTGTGTTCGATCGAATTTTATTATCTTGATCATTTAGCATCTTTCTTTAGTGACTTCTTAAAGAAGGAAGAAAGGCATTTATATTTATCGTAAGCATATGTTTTATAAATTTAATTAAAACGTTAAGTACTTCCACGTATAAAAGTTTAAATACTATTTATATTTATTAATAATGTCAGCGACTGTACAAGTGAGAAGCACAACAAAACTTAATAATTATTATAATAATCTTTATTCTTAATGAATAATATTTTTAATGGATCTTGCATTTTTATTTCACAAGTAAGATTAATAATTAATATAAATAATTACATTGTATTACGTTTTCATTGATATTCGAGGGTAAATAGATAGTGTTTCGATATTATAATATGAGTATATCATATTTTAGCTGTACATAATATTTATTTATAATTTTCATTTCTATTTTTACAATGGCAGTTTATCGAGTTGTATATTGCATTGATATTGTATTATCGCTTTGTATCGATGAATTGCGAAGATCATCATTAACTATTTGTTATTAACGCCGTTCATGTGATATATTTTACATCGTGTTTTTAAAAATTGTTATATATACCTTATAAAAAGAAAGAGCATACACTTATTCATATAATTAATCTGTTAATATTCGTGTTAAATTCATTATTACGAAAAATCGCATTGCGTGTATGAGTGTGAAATCCAATATCATGTATTTGTTATAAAAAGAGTATCAGTTATGGTAAAATATATATTAATCTCGTAAAATAAATTATCGCATTTCTGCACAAGAATGATACACAAACGTCTGTACTATGCCAAAAACTGGAGATTTACAAATATCTGATAACAGAAAGTATATCAGTTTCGGACATTTTTAATTTTCGTAAAGTATAAAGTATGTAGAGAGAATAACTGAGAAAGAGAGTAGAAAATAACCTTTGAATCGTTTTGAGTACAACTTTTTGTAATTTCTCTTGCATATATGCCGATGAATTGACATTGCGGTAATTGTAGAATTATTAGTTCAACAAGTTTTTGCAGTCAGATCCTACAAGAACTAACCGAACTGCGTGTAGATTTTATAAGTTTAATACTTTTGTAATGACGATAATGTAACAATATACTAGTCACGCTCATCTTTATCACTCTATCTCTTTCTTGTAACATTAATCTGGTCATCAGACACAATGTTTGTGATACACTTAAGTGAGATTTTGTTTCCTACTATGATTCAGTTTTTGTGATAGGGATGGATAGGACTGGCTATATGTTTATTGCATGAGAATAAAATAGTATTACATCACACACGGCCGTACACGCTGATCTATTATTTAATTCCGATGCAGTAATAAGGTAATTGCGCATTTGAGACGGAAGTACTTGTATTCCGATTAACAATGAAACTGGTTTCGACAGATTGTTATGTGAAGAAAATTTGCAAGATTTACATTGTTTTGCATACATGGACTACTTATTGTAACTATGAGTGACTGTCGTATGCGATCATATAACACTAATTAGCTTGTGTGTTCTTAGCTCTCGTATTTTTCGTTGCAGCCTAAGTATCGATTGTTAAAAAAAGAGCATAACGAAAACTTGCGAGCCGCCTATTTTTTCGCTAATTAATGTGATTAAATTAATGAGCACGCAACATGGGCTCGTCTGATCAGGCGGTTTCGTCGATTGAACCATCGCGTAAGAATAAAATCGAAGCTTTTTCAGAATAGGCACGATCGAGATTAATGTTTAAAAAGATGTAGATTCTAAAAAATCTTCCGAAGTAATGTATTTTAAACGTTTCTGTGAATGGTGTTTAAATTTGATACTTAATCTTAAATTTTTTATAGTTATTTTTAATTCCAAAGAATAAAAACGATTTAAAGAGATCAATAATTATGTCGACGTTTTCCTAAATATATATTTTTATGTTTATTTTTTAAATCTTTTCATGGCCGTCTAAAAAGGTAAAAGAATAATTTTAATAAATTTTTACTTTCAATAAAATGTATCTTACAATTAGATGAAAGAAACTTTTATATATTCGTTACATTCGTTGCGCAGATTTTAATTCTGAAAAGATGATACATCGATATGCATATATTAATATAGTAATGAAATTATTTTGATGCAAATCATTTTTTTTAGCATAAAAGAAATTTTAATTTTTAGTTAAAAATTAAAATATAATTTATCTTTGCTCCATGTTCGGGAGATTATTGTAAACTACATATATGAGGTTTCAACCAACTCCGACTGTATGTTGTTGTTCCATGCTCCCGTATTTTGCAGACAGAAGTTGTATAAAGTTGCGGATTGCTATGCTCAATCTGTTTAACATTAGTAAAAAAAAAATTTTGACGATAATATCGATTGCATCGAAGATGTAGCTAAAAATGTAAGAAGTGTGTAGTTCTAGAATCAGATGATTGTACTTACATAAACAATGAGAAATATTTGGACTGGCTTTTTATTACATATGATTCTTATTGCTTATTATTGCTAATAATTTTATTATTCCAGCGTGGAAACGCAAACCCGGCTGTAGTTATCTTGCTAAATCAAGAGTATTTCTGACCGCACAAGCAAAGATGTGGATACGTTGCGATACGTATATTTTGCTATTCACTATGTTTAACTGACGGTTTATAACGCAACCACATGTATCGATAACACGTGTGTGATAATAAAATAAACATTTGTAATTAAATATGATGATAAATGTGATATTCTAAACGTACTCTTTTTAATGAATTTTGAAGGTAAGACACTACTTGTGTATGTGCGTGAAATCATTTTTTAAAATTTCATCTAATTAAATTATTTAATATAATTGTGTCATTTATATATAAATGATAATTATAATTAAACTTGCTCTTAAGGATTAGCTTCGCTTGGCGAACGCAAATAAATAAATCGACAACTGGAAAATTAGCGGACGATTTATTCTCGAAAACAATGTAAACGAAACTGTGATCTATTAGTTATCTCAATTGTTTCTACTATTAAAAGATCTATGAATACGCATGCGCTGAATATCCGCGAACAATTTTGCGTTCAATAAAAATAAACGAGCGCCTGACGCTCAAGGGACGGCATCTTAATGTTCCCGAGCTTTCAATCTACAAGTAAACAAATTGACCCCATAAATAGTTTCCTTGAGCCAATGATATAATTCAGGCAGTAAAACAATTTCGATTGATATGCATTCGGACCGCTTGTTCCGTAAATTCAATTTCAATCTGCAATCTGTTCTGTATTAGTCCGCGCGAATAGTGTCATTCATAATTTAGATAAAATAAATTCGCTTTGCGTACTTCTTTGATTTAAAATAACATCTAAATAGTTTTCGCATGCTTTTCTACACGGATTTTATTTATCTTGATAATCTAATTTTTGTTACTTGAAAGTTAATGAACAATTTTTTGCGATCTTTTTATTTTTATTTTGCAACTAACAGTTTTTTTTTTATTAAAACGCTGTAATACACATAGATACGTTTGATTCTGTTCAAAATAATCTTTTGCTGTACAAATATATGGATATCGTGAATAATTCATTATAAACAATCTATAATTCGTATTAGATTTCAAGATTGGTTGTTTATACATATATCGTAAATTGTAATCTGTGTATATATGTATAATCTGATGTATATTTTATTTATGTGTGTATTTCTAATTGTTTAAATATTTTATTTTTAAGAGATTGGCACACAAAATTATAAACAAATTTAAAAATCATTTATAAAATGAATTTAATTAATTAAAATTATTAAAACAAACTGTTTTAGCAAATTGTCCTTCAAAAATTTATAATGTTATTTATAATAACGTTTATAATAATGTTTTAATGTGGAAATTTGAGAAATTTGGAAAAATACGAAGAATATTTGGGTAAATTTTTGAAAAGAAAAAGTAATCTCACTTTTTAATAAGAAATATCACGTCTACGAAACGATCATCGAACAGCGGTTGCTCCTAAGTGAAGAATTAATTTGCAAGATGACAAATTACGTACCTATTTTTTTAAAGGTTACACACATGTGCGTTATCGCTACTGTCATCATAATTCCATCATCGTATAACAACTGTTACGATAGCGGTTTTCGCATTATTCGGCAAATAAGCAGAATGCGAAATCTTGAATACGAAAAAAAAGGGGCGATCCTTAATACTTTGTGAAAGGCACGTGTGATTGTAAACCATACGGCTGTCGTATCGTAAATCAACGGGTCAAACAGGGTTTGTTTCTCCTGAGATTTATTTTGGTATTATCGATAACCTTGCGATGATAGCCTCCACGTTCACGTCGCGCCCTTTCGCGATTCTCTTCCACGTGCCTGTTTACACGATTCGTGTCGTCCGTGTATCTTAATCTCACAATCGGGGGGTATTAATCCTTGTCAGGGAGAGTTCGAAGATTTGTTGTTCGATCGCGGCCAACATTCCTTTAGTTTCGACGCAATCCCATGCAGTACCAAGATATTTTCTTACATAAGTAGTTACAAATATCGAAATATTTTACGTATAGGATAATTATTAACATTAACTTATATCGTGGACTATCATTAGGAGATATTAGATCTCTTTTACGGTTATTTCAAACTTTGACTTTTCTCATTTTTTTCTTGGCAAATTCCGCTGTGAATTATTGCCCCACAGCATTTTACAAATGATCATTTTATAAGATAATTATTCCATCGATTCGTCGATCTGCGCAGGCAACGCGCGCGACAGTACTCGGCCTAAATTTATATCGAGAATACCGTGAGAGATTTCGCGCGCATACTAACTGCAGATGCATCTCGTTTGTCGAACAGCCGCAAAACGGATGCAACGCAGAATGAGAGACGGCGCGCGAATAACGACGGCGGAGCGACTGTTTGGTGACGCTTGACCCGTTTAAAAAAGTTCGTCTCCCTCGCGTCTGTTGCCGAGTTGCCGAGAACGATAAACGCGAGAGAGGAAGGATAATTTCGAAGCTACGAGAAAACGTCATTTTTTTCATGCTCTTTTCAGCGATGTTCCCTTAAAACAACGGTCTGGTGATTAAAAGCGGTCTTTCGCATCCGGCTACATTTTGTACGAAACATAAAGTAACATAGTAACTTAATAACGCATCTTTTGTACAGAATTTGCTATAAAATTATTTATCGATCATAACATTTCTTATCGAATTTTTTTTTAAACAATCTGTTCGGAAACTCAGTCAACAAAGAATTCTATCTTTATTTCTGCAATAATTAACTTTGAAAAATTGAACGTGTTGTGGTAATAAGATTACAGCAGTAAATTGAAATTCACTGGAAAATTAACAAAAGGTCAAGGTATCATTATCGTTATATTTTAGAAATCTAGTACGCTAGAGTGAACTCTCTGTTCCATTTTTTAACATTAAATAACTTTATAATACGATTTCGAATATTTTATATTTGACTACTAGATATTGATTACAGATAAGTTAGACGTCCAAATTAAAAGCAAGTTATGACAAACGAATCAGAATATATTTCATATCAATAATATAGACTATCGATCGGCGTATTACGAGTGTTTCTTATGTGTATTTTTCAATGTTGAACACGTTACAAATTTTAAGCGTTTTTAAGCGATGATATCGGATTCGATATACTGATATGATTCGGATATAAAATGCAATCGAGTTACATTTTATAAGTCACATTTACAAGCTGCATGTATGAAGAGTCGCGTGATTAAATGAGATGATATATTTTTCTCCGTTAAAAATTGCACTTACCTACGTATATATCATTTATTCGCGTATCGTACTTTTAGCTTTCTGCTGCAGACTTAGTCCGCGAAAACCGCGCGATAAGCGGCGCTATATGATCAAGCTCGATTTGCTTATCGCTTACGTCTAACTGCTTTACGTTTTTCTATGTGCCGTGAGCTTTACTCACAATCAGCCAAAAACAAAATATCGATACGAAAAATGCTCGATATCGGTAATAGACCGACAATATCTGCGCGATATCGGAGTATCGCGGAGCATCCCTACGTCGCGGAGAGAGAATGCGGGTGTGAAAACGTGCAGCCGTGATCTTCGCCCGCGAGTCGACCGCCTCCTAAGCGGTCTCTCCCCGCTGCCCGACGATGACGGCTACAGCGGCAGGGAGCAACTTTGACCACGGTGGAAACGAGGAGAGAATCCCGGGGGACGTTGGTCCAAGGGAGACGCACACGTCCACCGGCGTGCGTGGCGGTGGGGATCAAAGGAGGGAGAGAAAGGGAGAGAGGGAGAGAGATGAATCGGCGGGAGAGGACTCCCGATAGAGCGAGACGGCGGATCAAAGAATCCAGGGGGAGGGAGAGAACGTGCCGATCCGCGGCGCGGTGGGAGAGACCCGCGAGATCGCGTCGGCGAAATACAAAGAGTGGGAGAGAGAGGGACTGAGAGACGGGGTGATAGAGGGAGCGAGTACGAGGAGGGGGAAAGACGAACTCTCCTCCTGGTGGAGAGAGAATCCAACGTGGAGAAAGAGGAAGTCGGGCCGCGAGCGCGGGACGAGGAGAGCGAGTGGTGAGAGAGAAAGAGCCGGACCCGGCGTGAGGAGAGGGAAAACCACGGGGGCTTTTGAAAAAGTTTTATCTTGTCGGTGCGCTCGGCCTCTCAGACGCTACCGAACGCCGGTACGGTGTTGTTGGGCCACGACGTGGTCGCGGCCTCCTCGGCGACAAATTGCCAGCGCAAAGAGAGCGAACGGAGAGAGAAAGACACAGAAAGTCCCGGTCGTGCGCCCGCGATTTCCGGTCCCGGTCGGTCCTCCCGTCGTCAACTTCCGTCCAGATCTCGTCCGCCCGCGCGCCCGCGGACATTCGCGCGAGAGAAATCGCGAGGACCGCCGAGGAGGAGGCGGTCTCGACGAGCGTCATCATCCGCAGGACCAAGAGGGCAAATTCCTCCCGCGTGTCCTTGGAGGAATTATTCTTCCTTCGCCATGTACCGTCGCTGAGGTGTCCCGACAGTGCCGATCGAGAGAGAGAGAGAGAGAGAGAGAGAGAGAGAAAGAGAAGGAGAGACGATAGGCAGGAAGAGAGAGAGAAAGAGGGTCAGTCAGGAAGAGGGCGAAGAGGTCGAGAAGTGACTCCTTGCCGGTCGCGACAGACGGCCAGCGGCGAGATGAAGAACCGTGTGTTGCTAAAGAGTGCGTTGCTTCTGCTGCTGATTGCGGCGGACAGCCTGGTGACAGCGTCCGAGGTAAGTTTTTTGGAGTAAGCCTCTGAGACCGGGGATCTCCTGGTCCCCGATCCGTCGAAATTACCGGCGGTCTCGTGGAATTTCACCTCGGGGCGGACGGTGCTCCGTATTTAGGCGCACGGTACTCCGGAAACACATTTAGGAGCGCGCCGCTTTGAAACTCGCGTTTCGATTCGATTCGATTAAGCGAGCCTTCTTTCGAGAAATTGCACATGTGCACTTGTAATACCACTGAACGATAATGAACTGAAGATATGAAACATTTTAATTGGCGTTTCGTGTCTGCCTTTGATCGATGGGAAATAATTCTAGGAGAGTAGCTTGTCAATTGATAATTTTTCAGTACCGAAAGGGGAAGCTACAGCCTCGCTAATATTTCGCTTGATCGTCTATATCTCAACAAGAACGTAGGAAAGTCTTCGTTTTTTTTTTTCAAGACCGCTCGTAACATTGAGACTGATAAAAATTTAAGAACACGTGACGCCAGATTTTTCGCTATCGCTCGGCGATATTCGAATTTATCAGCTGAAACATTTCGGAAACTCCCTGCGCGAAGCACACGGCGATTAGATAGCCCGTGTGGTTCAATCACCGGCGATTATACCTGTTATGTGTCTCACTTACGTCTGCTGATAAAGATCGCCGCATACCTCGCGGTGGAGGCAACCGCTTATCGCTCTCGTAAATCGTCGCGATGGATTCGTACGCCGCGTATGGAGTGCGGCGTGGCGTTACAAATGATCTTTCACCTCTTTTTAGAGGATGCCGGAGGTATATTCCTCTCTCCGGATTGTATAAGCACGACTGTGACACGTTTCTCCCGTTTGTGTACAATTCGCAACGGAACGGTTCGCGCGTACGACCCGAACAAGGCAGCATCTCGCTGTGCTCCAGCTGGTGCTCCGGCGTTTCTCGCTCGCGCTCTTGAAAAGTTGACATAAAAGCCGACTCAAGTATAAAGCGACGGCTGAGAAAAATCGATTAATTATTCAAACGTATCGTTTGCACCAACGCCGGGCGCCACCGCGAGTTCATTTAGTTCGCCAGCTGTATTGATACAGCTATTATGGTCCTATAATAGCCCAGAATTCATTACGTATCGAACTTCCGCTGCTTAATCTACACGATGCCTAATGAACTTTCCGATTTTTGAAATAGGTAACGATCGGATAATCCGTATAGCTGTTAAAATGTAATGAACATGATAAAATAAACAATGAGTTGCAGAAATAATTATTAGCAGTCTATTGTATTACATGTAATGATTGAATACGTTATATAGTGACACAAAATTTATCTGTCGCTTAAATGTCGGCTTTATGGAATGGCGTTTTAAATGAGGACAAATTAGATCTTCTTATTTTCATTGAACGGATAAGTTATATAATTCGATTTGTTTCATACTCTTTTTCTGTTCCTCTTTCGTGAAATAAAAGACTCGCTGCGTCGCGCAAAGAAATCCTTCAATTTAACAACGATCAACAGGTACGGGAAAAGAGGACCGGTGGATCGCGGAAATATGCCGTTGGACCCGTCGAGGGGCTTCGGAAAATACGGATCGAATTGTTATGCGCAACGCCACCGGACTTGTTCGACAACCCGGCAGCGAGACGCTCCGGGATAATTCGCGCGAATCGATTATATTCCGATCACACCTCGAACTCTCCCGTAGAAGCGGATACGAGCGCAAGTCGAACTCGTGCCGCGGCGAACTCCGATCGTTTCTGGAACCCGCCAATCCAGCGAAATATCATTCCGCGAGGCACGGATTTCCGCCGAAACGACACTTCGCCGGTGGCCTGATATGACGATCCTTCTTCATCGCAACTTCGACGGCACGTTCTTGTTTTTTACGCGTTTATAACAGTGCGTGAACGACGATTATCTTAATCTTCAGTCAAATTCTTGCTAAAATTGCTTCATCGTCTCGTTGTCGAAAAATCTCATTTTCGATATTTCTTTGATACCTCTGAAGGCTGATACTTTATATATTTTGTGAAAAAAAAAGTTTCTTAAATTCAATAGAAAATACGGTCTTCCAATAAATAGATATATTTTTATGTCTTATTATCTCATAAATTAAGCTATCCTATCTGCACCTGTACGAATACGAATGATCAAAACGATTTAATAAATATTTTGTCCCGATAAGCAAAAATTTTCTTCGAAATCTCCGCATGACATTATAATAAATTTTATGAACGTGTGATATTTTTTTATACATAAACATTCAGATGATATATTATACATATAATTATACGTATACATATAATTTCTGAAAGGTTTCATTATCTATCTATTTTACTAATCTATATAATCTTGTAGATTAAGAATAGATCGTAGATCGTAATCAGGCTGATGTGTTCTAAAATTTACAAATTAAAAAAACTTTTAACGACTTTTTAAATAATGAAAATGTTATTTTTATGCAAAAGATGTCTAATGTTGCTAAAAAGAGTATTTATTAAAAATAAAAGTGTACTTAATTTTGCAAAAAAGTGAAAAAAGATTAAATTATTGTTTTAAAAAAGATTATATTGTGCTAATCGAAAACCGAATAAAATGTTGGATACAACAACATTGTCTTTATTTTCTAAATGAAGTAACCACTTTCGGAATGCAATGAAAATTTCATGATCGCATTATCGCCGAAATAATTTTCAAAGAAAAACATAATTTTCTCTAATAATTATCGATTGACACAATTAAATGATAACTGAGCGGCCAGTATTATTATACGATCGTGCAACTCAATCGGGGCAAGTGCATCGCTGTCACGATTAAAATGCATCGTCGGTCGAGAGCCGTACAGTAGTACGCGTATTTGTCGCGATAACTTGACAATGATTGCGTTATCTTCCGCTCCACGAGTATTGAATATCGCGATACCGGGCACGATGTACCAGCGGTCAGAGGCAAAACAGCGAGTCGCGGCCTGACGGCGGTAAAAAGTGCTTTTCGCGCTTCGCGGCTCATTCGGGTGAATTACAGAATATTTCAAATGACGCTCTCATTCCAAAGACATACGGCGATACGCATGTCCTCTTCTGCGCTATTCAAAGCAGCGTAGTAAATGGCTCTATTTGAGGCGCAACATTCGCTGCAGCGTGCAGCGTGCCGCATTCTCGTTGCATCCGTGAGCACCAGCGATGCACGCCGCTTGTACAAGCTAATCGTTTCATTGGATAGAGACGCTTAATTGGTGAGGGGTATCGACAGCTCTGTCTACTTTTTATAAAATATGGCGATACTCGATATCACTTTGGAGAACTGCGGCGAATTTAAAATGCGTTCCCATTTTTTTTTGCAGATAATGATGTTCGTTATAATCTCGGTTGTCTAAGAAAGACTGATCTCTTTCCTTCAATTAAAATTGTTATTAAATCCGATCATTACACATAAACGCTTTGTCCTCGCTATCTAATTTGGCACATAAATCAGGTATAATAAAACCGAAATCAGCTTCTTTTAGAATTAAATTCGTCCGTTATTCTTAGTACAGTTAAAGTAGATCGTGTTAATTCTTAAACGGGCGAATTTTATTTGATATAATTGTAACCAGTAAACTGTTTCTCTTTTTCAATTGGGCGAATAAATCTGTCAGCTACATGAAGATTTAGTTTTCGTGCGTTTTTTGCGACGATGGAGAATTTTTATTTTTTTAGAGGCGTTATATCGTCCTGACCCACGAGACGACACTGACTCGATGAATCGAGTCGGCGGATATTGAATTAAAATAGTTATTCTCGGAACGGCACGTTCGCCACGGTTCGTCGGTGGCTTGATTAATTTCGAATCGTTCCTCGATCTGGAGTCGAATTATCATTTCACGGCGCTTGCAGGCATTTGCATACATAGACGATCATTTTGCAAGCCGGCGTCCTGACAACGAGTATTATAAAGTCGTGGCGCCGCGCGGCACGAGGGTGAACGCAATTATAGATCGAGGATGCAAACGCACCCTTCTCTCTGGATTTTCAAAGCAGGAAGGTTTACCAAAAAATCTCATTATTTCGAGTTATTTCATGAAATAATTCACAACTAACGTCTGAATTTGAAATATTAATCGCCGTGGTTGGTATATATTGAATCTTTTTCTACAGTTTTTGTACTTAAGGAAATAATATTGAACTGGCTGCCTGAAAATATTATTGGTCACGTTAGTTTATCATGTCCGAATTATCAATAGACGAGTGACGCCCTTGGCATAGATTCGCCTTATCACAAAGCTGTCGATTAGGGTCTGCAAAGCTGTAGATCACATACATCATATTTGCGTTATTATTATTATTATTATTATTATTATTATAACATCTGTAATATTGCTAAAAGTAATACCTTAAGTTTGGTTTGACAAGCTACTGACAAGCAATTTTATTGCATCTCAGCCTTTTATCTTTATCAGAGAATTGATAATACATAAGAGCAATCTGATAATTATACGCAGAATTGAAAGATGTAAGATTCTTTTTATATGTGGAAGGAATATATACTTGTTGTTGGCCCAGTTGTTAAATTCGTACATACGGGCTGTCTCAGTAATCGCGGATTTGTATGATGAATGATGTGTCAAGATACATGTACATTTCACATAAATTACAATGTGAAGCATAATGAATTATTACAGTGTAAAATGATTATAGGACTTAAGAAAGCGCTCAGAGCGTGTACTTTAAAAATATTACAGCCAAGAATGATGTTAATTAATTCGTACGTACCTATATCGGTGACCATAGCCTGAATCAAGTGTCGTGGAAGTTTTTCGAATGCAAGCCGTAAAGTTGTTATTGCAAAATTGCGACATACGTACGGAGAGAAAGCCAAATCCCGACACTCGTCCGACGACTTCTGAATATCGTTAAAACGGAGGTTATATACCGACGGTTTAATTTGTCATTTTAAATCTTACTTGGCCGTATTCTCGGATATTCCGACTCGGATATTCTTCATCATCTTAGTGTGTGTGTGCTTTGCGACGGTTTTTTTAAAATACCGTCGAG